TCTTTCTAGGGTACCAGTTACTATAGAGGCAACAGGCAAGCTTTGCTCTATTACTGTGCTGGTGGCCCTTAGATCAGATCTTCTCAAGGGACAGCAACAAGCTGTTTTCGGTGGCTGTCTCCAGCACCAGTTGATTCAACAAAGCTAAGATTTGCTATTTTTTTGCCCAGCTCTTTAAGAAAACTTTGGTGAGATGGAGGACCGCAAGGCAAGCTTCCACAGCTCATTCAAGTCAACTTTATAGCCCTGTTTGTGTCCTTCTATATTGATAACTCACCTGTGTGCCAAAGCCCAAATTGCATGGAGTGAGGAAGAAAATTAGGTTAGAAACCCATTGATTTGCCTAGTTAGGCAGTTGTCAGGACTGTGTTTCCGGGCATTTTAGAAAAACGATCCTTAAATGCCATCTAGTGGTAAAAGCTACTTTCGTCTTACATTTCTGCTTTACAGAGAAACCGGAAAAGGAGCACGGTGCAAAGTCATGGTTAGACCTGTTTGGATTTTTTTAGCTTTCTTCAGAATCTTGTCCTTGAGTGTCGTAAGGTCAGAAGCACTAGGAATATGGGAAATACGTTCGCAGGACTTAAGCTCTGCAGTGCCATCTACTGTGGTGTCTCACTTTCGAGACCCTCAACACAGGAGCAGGATCCCTAGCTGTGAATGAGAAGTCTGTCCTTGAAGGAGGACAACAAGTCAGTCTGCTACACGCAGTCTCCGTGTGAACTCAGCAGCCTCAGGATGTTGGGAGGGGAGACGACTACACATCATGCAGGGACAAAAGGAACCTCACATGCAGAAACTTTAGAGCCAGGATATGCTTTATAGTATCTTAAAACTGGTTCAAAGATGCTGCAGCAAGACTGAAGCAAGCAGTACTTAATGAGATGCAGTTCACTGATTCCATTTAAAAACCCTGTGCTGGCTCAAAACAAGCCATCAATATTTGCTGAAACAGCCTACATAGCATGAATTCCAATTAAAATTACTGTCCTCTTGGTGGTACCTTGCAGCCTTTTGCAAACACTTTCTGGTCCTGCTTGACAAAACCCCTGTGCCCCAATGTCCTCAGTACGTATCAGAAGAGAGGTCACTAACCAGCTGCCTCCTATTTGGATACACAGTGGTTTGGTGCTGCGTTTCTGCAGAAATACTCCTCATGTACCCAAGAGGATGCTGCTGGGACCCCTGGCCAGACCAAGACCAGATCAAGGCTGGACCAGTGATCTGCCCAAACTTTGAGGAACTGGGTGGAGTCCTCTGGTACGACACAGACATACTGCTCCCCGGTATTACAGCAGAAGAGCCTTTAATCCACCCCCAAGCAATTTGCCTCCTCCAAAGCAGCAGCATGGCAAGAAGTAGACAATGTGATCCTAGTGGATGCACTAATGTCAAGCACTTCTCAGAGCAGTGCCACTCTAGCCAACGCTCCCACCCTTAAAAAAATCTTAGGACAACATCAGAGAGCCTAGATCAGGTTGGAGGCGTCTGCTTTTCAAGCACTGTACATCCATATGGAAAGCAGGGTGGTGGGAGGGAAGAACAGGCCAGTCTCTGGATTCCATGCTGAAAAGAGCTGCAGCTTGATCTGCTGCAACTGGTTTTCTCTTTAATTTCTTTTCCCTGTGTAGCTGAGTTCTCTTTAAGACATGTGCATAGGTGGTGGTGTCTGCAGTAGTGTTACTATCACTAAAACAGGTTGTCAGGGCACTGACCTTGGCATATGTCATTGCCTGATCAAAGGTGATATGCTGATGAAAGAATCAGTAAGTTCCAGGAAGATTTCTGAGGACTTGCCTGTGAAAATGCGCAGCTCAAGGCATGTTATCACCACCTGAACAACTTTTTTTGAGAATCTCCATGTTGTTGCAAGGCTAGAAACAAGTATCAGTCAGGCCCATATCAACTTTCCTAAGAAACTCAAAACCAGAAAAGAGCAGCCAGAGATGCACTCCCAAACCTGCAATGCAGTGCAGCTGGCTCCAGCAACCCACATGGAAAAAGAGATGCACAAGGATACAGGATAATGAGCATCAAGCCTACAAATCATGTAGTGGGAGTCGTGTTTAAGCTCACTTTTATGACAGAGAACATTTGCATTGCCACACACACATGAAATCACATTCACAGAAGCCTTTAACATCTCAGAGGTCAAAGAAATTGCCTCGGTCAAAAGAGGCACTTTTGATCATGCATATGACTGAAACACCAAGCAAAATCATGAAGACCCATTTTTCTCCAGAGATTCCCTCATTTTTTTCATCCCAGAGCAGCACAGGGCACAGTCAGGGCAGCTAATATGATGTTACACATAAAGCAACAGCTATTGCGGGCTAGCAGGCTGTATTTGCACAAGTGAACAGAACGTGTGGAGGGACAGAAAGCTGAGCAAAGCAGCCAAGCTGTGAGGGAGCAGGGGGAGGTCCACAGTTCACTGGCAAAAGCAGATTTTATGAGATGTGCAGTGGCAGACAGCAAGAGAGGGCCAAGCCAGCCCATTTTCACAACTCGCTGTAGAGGAAGATGGAAGGGCCTTAATGACTTGCTGCTGTAAAAGGACTGTGGCTTGACCAAGCCATGAAGGCTGTCATGGCAAAGACGGCCTCAAGCACTCCTCCATCTCCTTCATCTCTTTGCACTGTCCCTCAGGAGGAGGGGAAACCTGGAAACAGACAGAGATGAGGACGACATCCTCCACTGAGGCAGGGGAATGAGGGAGCAGGGAGAGCAACCCTGGGGCCATGCATGCTGGGCTGGCATATTTCCCTGCAACTCTTGGTTGTTCCTGCATGGCATCAGCCTGGGTAAAGAACGAGCAGTGATAAAGCTCTGCGTCCTCACCGTTCCTACCCCTCCAAGTGCTCCCTGCAGGCTTTGCGTCCCTGTGTTTTGCTCATGTAGCATGCACAGTGGCATTTTCTTTCATGCAGGTTTGGGCTTGTGATAGCTGTGTAGCGAAAAGTGCTCTCCTGGAGATCTTGCCCTCAATCAGACAGTCTGTGTTTCAGCAGCCTGGCTGTCCATGCCTCCTACAAGCCACTTCACTTTCCTTCCACTGTCACCTGCCCTTTGGTGGCAAACACCCCTGTGACTGAAGTCCTCCCCTCCCTTTAATACAGAAGGTGTAGGAACTAGGCCATCTGTTTTCTGTTTAGATGGATTGGGATGTCACCTATAGCAAATGTAACTACCCCATCCCAGAGAAGCAAGGAGAATGGACAGGGGTGGCTGCAAGAGCAGCTTATCCATCCATGTCAAGGGCCCACCAAGAACATGGGCAGCAAAGGGGTACATTTAGAGTCACTGACTGATTAGCTTTATCATGAATTCAAAGAAGAGCAGAACTCAGACCTTAGACCTGTGGCTGAACCAACCAAGAGGTCTGCCTGGAAATTGGCTGATTGTAGTGACAGCTGCCACCTCCTCCTTCTTCAAACGTACTGACATCGCACATGGATGCAAATCACACTGTATACCTCGTATACCTCGTTCCTCCACCCAGTCTGCTGCTATTCCCACCTGCTGCTTCCTGACAGCAAGGCACAGCATAACAGCAGCCTGCAGTGGCAGGCACGGCACCCCAACATGTTTCCCCCAGCTGGCAGGGATGTACATTTCCTCCACCCTCCCCCTTTTTTATCTGCTGCAAACATTCAGGAACGTGCACTGCTTGAAGTGATGGCATCATTTTTCATGCTCTTTTCACTGCCTAAACTTTATAATCCATTATTTTTACAATTAAATATATGACTTGCAGATCAAAGGCCTGAGATTACATCAATCTTTTACTAAGAAGATTGTATTAAGTTCAGGGAATCACACTATTTCATACAAGACAGTGGATGAAATGTCTGCTCTTACAGAAAGTATCTTCCTCCAGCTCAGGTCCTTGTTTATCTATACACGTTAAGCAAAACTGTCTTGATACAAACGAAAATGTTACCTAAATGAAACCCTTTTTGAAACAGACAATACACTAATTCTCAGCCAACAAGACATACCTTTCTGATGAGAAGCTATGGAGGAACAAAACTGAGGTCTGAAATTGTGTTTTTTGTTTTAAGACCTCTTAGGAACTACAGTCCACACTAGAGCGTTACCCTCCTTTACAAAATGCTTTAAAGAAGACAAGCTACGTATATTTTTTTTCCCGTTTCCTTTACATTAGGATATGAATAGAAGTAGCTTTGCCTCTTGTCTGCTCATGTAGGCCACCCTCCGGAGCTCAAGCATTTGATTCTGGCAGTTTCTGGACAGAATGGTACTTAACGAGCTGCATATAAGTGCATGACCTGATTGTCTTTGCAGTAAAAAAAGTAGCAGTTCATGCTAAAACTGCAACATACTGTGATTTTCAAGTTCACATGTCTTTAGGCTTATTATTTATTGGAAGTGGGTTATTTCAGCAGCTGCAAGAAGCCAGTAAATAAGGTAGCACTATCTCAGCTTCTAAGTCATAGCCTGAAAGCGTTGTATTACCCACTCTCCACAAGAGCTGTGTAAGGTTCAAGCTTGCTTGAGCTGAGTGAGGTCTAGCCCAAAACCTATTGTAGCCCCATGTTGCTATAAAGCTTTAGTAAGTAATGGCATGAGGCCAAACTAAAAACATTTCAGCAGTGCCCAGGTAGATTGCAGTGGCAAAAATCATCACTAATCTGATACTGAGACAAAAGTTTGACAGGCAATAAGCCACACCCTTGTATTCAGCAGCCAAAAAGCAGGCTGCAGAAGCATGGCTACAGCTTTGTGGCCTGCACCATAACACACTGCAAACTTTAAAGCCCTCATCCCTTTGGAAACTCTTTCAGCACAGCAAGAAGCAGCACTGAAGGAAAGGCCAAAATAATTTTTAAAAAGTTACATGAAATATAAATAGATATATGAAATGCATACATCTCTTCCTCTAAAGCTGAACACTTCCTCTAAAGGTGGTGCATTATTTGGGACATATCTCCCCATTCACTATTGCCAGGTCTATAAACTATTGACTATGACCTACTATGATGTACTTCTTGTTTCTGGAGCAAGGTGCAAAAGTGACCAAGTATACCATCCGTTTGTTAACTGCTGAGAAGTATTGTGCTCATCAGATACAAAGCACACTTAAGGAACAGAAGCCTGTGAGAGGAAGGTTTGAAAATAAACATATTGAGATGGGCCTGTGGGGGAAAACGCAAGAACCCTCTGCAGCTGCCTCTAGAAATTCCAGCAACCGAATTTTATACAGGACTGCAATTGTCAGCACAGATTTAACATAGTCGTCTTGAGTGCTGCTCAGACGGCTCCAATCGCAATACTCTCCAGACGCTGCAATTTCTATCCAGGATATGAAGCGGTTTACCACAGTAGAGACTGAGAAATCTCAAGCCAAAAAAAAAAACCCCAACCAACAAACCCCCAAGCAAAACTGTGCTGTACTTTTGTAGAATACAGAAGAGTTACTAGAGCTACTTTTCACTCTATCCCGTGTTACAGGTCAAACCCGGGAGCACACCAACAGCAACAAGCTCTCCCTGGCATGACCAAAGCACAGGTGTCGGTTGAGGCCGTTACCAGATTTCGAGCACTTCCAGCCCCGAGACCGCCCCGTGCAGGCCCCGAGATTAGCACCCCGGTTCTCCTCGGGGGTCTCCGGCTGACCCTCAGCTTCCCTCCGACGCTGCCTC